GTTTGAACGCGCTAATCTCCGAAACTACTGGTTCGAATTAAATAATTCTTTTTGTGTTGGATAGTCCAGTTATCGAGGAAGGCTATAAGCTATATAACATCACGCTACGACCAATAGGAGCAAAGATATAGTGGTAAATGTGTAAAAAACGGGGGAAATTATTTCATCTTTGAAGCCTTCCGTTGCGTGCGCTGTGAAAACTAAAGCTTAACTTAAACTAAAGCTTGGTCATTGTTCTCGGTCGAAGTCTTTATCAATGGGATGTCCTCAGGGCTTGGTTATTGGCCCGTATTTATGGAATTTAGGATTTGATAATTTGCTCGCGATTACCCTTCCTTGTGGCTGTGCTTTGACTGGATATGCGGATGATGGCCTATTGCTAGTAATTTATAATTATAAGTTTGAAATCGCCAACCCGCATTGAGCAAGCGTAGTGATTAATGCTCAAACCTTCTCCGTGTGAAAAGAGGCGTTGCTCAGCAGTGGGCATTTATAGGCTGTTGATGTATTGCTTAAATTAATTACTGATGTAGCCTTCCAATAAAGTAAATCAATTATTATACAAAATGCATAGGTACACCTAAGTCGACCACAAGTTTACGTCTTTACATCATTTAATATTCAAATTTCAACAAATTGCATCATTCATATTATTACGCACCAAGTGGTGGAAATGTAGGAACAGATTTTTGTCCAATCACAGTGCAGCTGTCAAATATTGAACGTCCAATCGTATCTACCTAATTCCCTTTTGGACTACCTATACTACCTAATTCCCAGGCATTGGGTTACGCTAGCATCAAGTACCTATTATGGCTTCGTATTGTTTTATTATAGTTAAACGTTTATATATGTCGTAGAATAATTTGATACTTCGAATCTTCGCGGAAATCCTAGGGGTTTTGCGAAAACGCGGATAATTAGACATAGACGAAAAATTATCAAATCTTACTGGACAAAGTCAGGATTTTTGCGGAAATACTCATTACTATAGTAAGATTGCGAAACGAAACGCTGGCTGTTATGAAATAAGCTGATTGGTCGGTCAGCGCGTTCAATAAGAGATCGTCTCTGATTGGTTGACGTCTTCGTCGTCTTACGACCAGTTTTATCCAATTTATGGATTACACCCTAAAATTGGATCATTTTTTTTACTACGACTGAGATCTCCTATTTTCTGTAGAAAACAACATACATACTAAAATTTTCAATAAAAGGTTTATAAAAATCAATTTAGTGATTTTTCTTTCTCACCTATTCTAAACCTTCATATCTCTATGATACAATACTTGAAGTTAATCATCGGCAAACTAGGAACCAATTAGAAGTCAGCCAGCAAAATTGTAGCCAATCAGTGTTGAGCACATCAAATCTTACTATAGTAACGAGTATTTTCGCAAAAATCCTGACTTTGTCCAGTAAGATTTGATAATTTTTCGTCTATGTCTAATTATCCGCGTTTTCGCAAAACCCCTAGGATTTCCGCGAAGATTCGAAGTATCAAATTATCCTACGACATATATACTCCTATAGCCAATTGTATGAAATGCAACTAGATAGTAGATATGAAGTAAGTAGGGTGTTCCTTGTCTATGATCCACAGATAATATTAGATATTAAGTATTCTATGATTTCAGTAAAATAATAAGTTTGTGGACCATGGACAAGACTTCATTCTTAATTTTAGCTTTTATTTTTATTTTTTAATTAGGTATGTTATGTGTGTTCTGCGCAAAAATAAATGTTTTTTCTTTCTTTCTTTCTTTTCGGCGAAGGACGAGAGGTACTAGCGACATCTGGTGAGCAAAGATACGGTATATCTTAAAGGTTGTTAGGAAGCCCGCGCCATAGGCCGGCGCCGCGCGCTCCGTAAACACTGTCGAGGAACGCGTCACGTATCTTCTATTGACGAGGTACTATGTACGCGCACCACGCTGTCTGGCCAGCGATACAAGTTTTGTGATACTAGATATCACAGTCGTTGACTTGTTTACAGTCAGCACGTTGTTTTTAATCATAATCAAGAATGCTTAAACATTTTTTACAATAGATAAGTACGCTATCACAAAACATATCGAGCTCCTGATAATTCCTGAATTTTTGTTTGACTCACTAATTTGGTCAATAGAAAATTGGATTTATTAAAAAAACTAGCTTTTACCCCGCGGCTTTGCTCGCGCCACAAAAGGATAAAAACTAGCCTATATATCCATCCGTTCAACTAGCTTCAGTTAAAAAATCACGTTAATTAGTACCTCCGTTCTGCCGTTTAAGACAGGCAAACAAACAAATAGCTTTCCTCTCGCGTGGAATTCGGTTATATCGCGCTATTTAGATTTTTCCAATAAGTAGGTAATTCGTTGACTGGTTTTAAATGACATACAACGCCATCTATACCAGTACATACATCTATATCAATATTTTTGTTTTTCCTAGGAAATATCAATTTATTCCGTGATAAAAAGTACCCTATTATTGAATCCAGACTTCTAACTTTACGTCTGCAAAATTTTAAAGCAATCGGTCTAGTAGTTACGGCGTGAAGGCGGAACAAACAAACAAACTCACTTTCCGATTTATAATATAAAGTAAGGATAATGTATAATAAGTAAGGATGATATTGCACTAAGCATAGATATAAGTTATTAACTAGAAAAACTTCCTTGTTTTATTTGCTACCCTAAAACATAAAATCACTACACAGTATAAAACAAAGTCGCTATCCGAGTTACATATGTTTCGGCGGTCGGGATTTTGATTACAAAAATATTAATTAATTAATTACAATTTAATTATATTAATTTGTCAATACAGGATGTTATTTAGCTGGTGATCGCGATTAGACTGGCTATCTAATGTCATTATACAATGCAATTGTAAATTGAGTAAATGCTGAGTTGCATAAAGCCCTAGCTGCTATAATCATCAAAAGGGATCGAAATAATGGGTTACGATGAGTTAACTCCTCCCTCCATACGATAGAAGCAACCCTTGCTTCTGATTGCGTCCTAGCTGTCCTTGATGTCTTCTGGGACATTCTTATTACTGGAGATTTTCCATTGATACAGCTTCCAGGATGCTGTAGATATCAGTAGTGTGTAGAGTACGATTGTGGACCAACTAGGTGATGCTGTGATAGTTGGCCAATCTTCGTCTTCTGGCACGGAGATGTCGCCTGCTTTGTTCATAAGTTCGTGGATGCTATCCAGTGCGATGTCTTCTAACTGCAGCTCGTACTGTATTCTGTGTTCTGACTCGAGGTGGCGCTCCACAAGTCTGAGGCCATGTGCTTTCATGGCCGTGGCAATGTACCACCTCAGGGTGGGTCCCTAATAACGGCAGGAGGAGTTACCATCGGTGTCGAGACGACGATGGTAACTTAGGACTTGTCCTCGACAGTCGGTGGAACTTCGTGGAGCATTCCGACTTTTGGCTCCTAAATTGGGACGGACGGGGGCGGCGCTTAAGCGCCTCCTACCCAAACTTGGGGGGCCAAACGCCTCCTGCCGGAGGTTGTACGCGGGGATCCTGCGGTCCATGGCCCTCTACGGCGTGACGGCGTCCCTATGTGGGCATTGAACCTGATGCGGCGGCCAGCTCGAGCGCTGCTCACATCACAGAGGGTCATGGCCATTCGGGTGATTCGTGGGTATCGCACGATCTCCGGCGAGGCGGCAAACCTCCTTGCCGGATAACCGCCGTGGGATCTGGAAGCAAAGGTACTCGCGTCTTCTTTTTGCACGCTGTCGCGCTTCGCAGGGGCAAAACCTTCCCTGCCGCGCCAGATTAGTGCGTGGCGGGAAGAGCTCCGGCGCGATCTCATGGCGAAATGGCAGCAACGACTGTCGCAACCGAGGGCTGGGCTCGCTGCCATCGCAGCGGTAAGTCTCCTCTTTGAGAAGTGGCTTGAGAGACGCTACGGCGTCCTCACCTACCGCCTGACGCAAGTCTTCACTGGACATGGAAGTTTCGGGAGGTACCTGTGTCTGATGGGGCGGGAGGAAACGCCCGGGTGTCATCACTGCGAGGACCGCCCTGAGGACACGGTGGAACATACTGTGGCGGAATGCCCTGCGTGGGCTGAGCACCGCCGTGCTTTCAGGGAAGTGATCGGCGATGGCGACCTCTCGCGTCCGGGCCTGGTGCAGGTCATGATGCGGAGCGAGGGGGACTGGGATGCCGTCTCCTCCTTTTGCGAAGCAGTCATGCTAGCTAAGGAGAAGGCGGGATGCATGAGACAGCGAAGCTCTGCCCCCGCGCAACCCAACCATCGCGAAAGACAACCCGGGCGTCGGGGATCGCGGGACGATCTCCAGGGGTGGCTCCCCGTCCGGTCAGAAACAGACCCGAGCGTACGGCGCGTCGCGTTCCGCGCGCGAGAGGGTTGTTTTCATATTTGGACTTTAAGCATTGTCTAAGCGCCTACTGCTTTTATAAAAGCAATTACAATCGACTGGCTAATGATGCGAACGAGCGCACGTTAGGCGTATTCGTAGTTAATGTAACCTCTCATCAATCTGTTTTTGTCATTGTTAGGATTATACGCTATTAATTCTACACGACTGCTTTAAATTATTTTACCACCTTGGAGTCTTCTATAAGCATCACCGCCCAACTCAACCATGTTGTAGGGAATCGAGCGATCCACTGCCTACTGATACTGATATCTCTGACTCTGTATCATTGATTGGGATAAAGCCATCTTTTATAACTATTTTAGAGCTAGTGGACCTGTTGTCTACTCTGTAAGTGGCACCGGGGGTTAATCGAATATGAAATTGTTTAAGTTGTTTATCAATAGCGTCCGTAGTTTATTTATTTATTTATTGAATTAGGGTTCTCTCTGCCTCGTTGGCCGAGTGGTCGCAAGTGCGACTGCCGGGCAAGGGGTTTCGATTCCCGGGTCGGGCAAAGTATTACTGGGTTTTTTAAAATTCTCAGTAGAAGCACGGAGTCTGGAATTGTGCCCGGTAAGTATATGGCAATAGGCTCACCCCCTATTACATGGGACTCATAACATAAATAGTGAAAAGTGGGTGTTACATTGTATAGTGGTATAATGTGCACCTCTGCCTACCCCTTCGGGGATAAAAGGCGTGATGTTATGTTATGTGAATTAAGGTCTCCAACAAGGAATACATTTAGCACACACGAGTAGCATTACAAAAATTAAAATCTATGTGCTTCCTTAATTATAGGAGGCCACAACATGCATAAAATCATAAAAATATACATAAAATTGGCAACACAAATCAAAAATTAAAATTAAATTAAACTAAAAGCTAAGAACAAAACAACTGTGACTAAAAACAATACAAAATGTCAAAAATATGGCACATGTCAAATAATCAGACAAAACAATCAAATGTCGGAAATAATCAATTGAACATGGTCAAGTTTAAAATAATAATACTAAATAACCAAAACAAAACAAAACAATAATAATAAAAAATCAATCGACAATAATTAATAATCAAATTTCAAAGATAATCAAATAATCCATTAAAATAAGAGAAATTGACTGCACGGCCGGTGCGTTGGCTGGGCAACCGGCAGCCGCGCAACGTGTAGCGGGTCTGATTCCCGCTCGGAGCAGCTTTTTATGGGATCCACAAATTGTACGGTTTATATTAACTACCTTGTGTTTGGGCTTGATTAATTTGTATTGATGAGAACTTTACACCTAGATAGAGTGGTGCTATTATTAGGGGTCTGATGATGAAGAAGTGTAATTGTTAAGGGAACTCCTCAACGATATACAGTAACTACCTTGTGTTTGGGCTTGATTGATTTGTATTGATGAGGACTTTACACCTAGATAGAGTGGGGCTGTCATTAAGGGTCTGATGATGAAGAAGTGTAATTGCTAAGGGAACTCCTCAACGGTATACTATAACTACCTTGTGTTTGGGCTCGTATAATTTGTATTGATCAGAACTTTGCACCTATGTAGATTATAAGCAACAAAACGGGTATATGTAGCTTTACACTGAAAATGATAAAATATTAAAATAAAAACTGAGTTTAAAAAACCGACTTCAAAAAACCAAAAACTAATAACAAACAAAAAGTCAAAACTAAAAAGCAAAAAATAACTACATATTATAAGTACTGATAGGTTACCCACCCACTGATAGGTTAGAAGTCGGTGCCATAGGAACTTATTGCTGGTTGTCTTTTCAAACCTTGAATAGTTAGTGAAACTGCTCTGATGAATTTTATTTATTATGTGTAATGATAATAAAAAAATATAACACCTTTGTGCTCATTTTATTTATAACCTCTTTGGCCGAGTGGTCGCAAGTACGACTGCCGGGAATAGGGTCTCGGGTTCGATTCCCGGGTCGGGTAAAGTGTAAACCTAGTAAGTTTTAAAAAAATCTCAGTAGTAGCACGTAGACTGGAATGCCCGGTATATGGCAATAGGCTCACCCCGTATTATATGGGACTGATAACATAAATAGTGAAAAGTGGGTGTTACATTATACACACATCGAGCTTTACATAACCAGTATAAACTGAACGTTAAATGTGCGGAAAGATGATGCGACGCGACACCAGGATAAACTGGTTTTGTATAGATTGATGTGTGGCCGTGTGTACAGTGACTTTAAGTGCCGTAATGTACTTACACCTCTACTTACCCATTCGGGGTGATATTATGTTATGTGAATAATAGAAACTATTCTTAGAGTCTGACACTCCCTCTCAACTTACTCAAGGCGGGAGAAGTCATTTGATGATTTTCACCCTCACCCTCATAGAAGAGCAAAACATCTATAAAAATAAAAAATAAATAAAATAAAAATAAAAATCTTTTATTTTCAGGCGTCGACGGCCCATAGAGTGTTAGTAAACAGTACAAACTTAAAAACTATGTTAGTAGTAACACACGAGTACAAAAATACAATAACAAAATAATACATCAATCATCATCATCAACAGCCTATAAATGCCCACTGCTGAGCAAAGCCTCTTCTCACACGGAGAAGGTTAGAGCATTAATCACCACGCTTGCTCAATGCGGGTTGGCGATTTCAAACTTATAATTAGAAATTATAAGTCCAGGTTTCCTCACGATGTTTTCCTTCACCGTTTGTCAGTGGTGTCTAAATAATCTTCACAATAATACATACACAAATACAAATACAGAACAGATTATTATTAGAAGCATTATCAAGCACCACGTCTGACATGCAGCTTGATAAATCTATCTATTGTAGGCCCTTCTAGCCTTCCTATTAACCCCCAAAGCGACAGACACCGACCTGGGGCCTTACTCTTGAATCCAATTCCGATCGATCGACATTGGTATTGTGAAATTTCGTACTCTCGAGATGCAACACTAGCGCCCATTGCATCCGTATTGCATGGATATTAAATGAACTAAATGGTATTAAGTTTGGCTTTATATTCCGTACCCTGAATGCTATTTTAACAGCTACGATAAGGGTTGTATAGTTTTGACATTGAATAATTATTGAGATTTTGTTGGATTGAAATTGCATTGACATTGAGATTGGTTTCAAGAGTAAGCGCCCTGAGGCCTTAGTACAAGTTTGTTTCACATTTAAAGTATTCGAAACGAGAACGCGTTCGGCGCTGCGATTGGCCGGCGCCAATGAACCAACCAATCAGAGCGCCGAACGCGTACTCGTTACAATTACTTTAAACGAAAAAGAAACTCGTACTAAGGCCTCTGTATGTAGTACATAGATACATGTCTACACATTTATGTTTGTGATGATGTCGCAATTGGCTGAACCGCTTTCGATGCTGTTTTCAGAAAAATGTTTGTTACATTACAGGTTTTAGTATATTAATTAGCTGACTTCAAAAAAACAGGGGATTGAAATCGGTTTTTTTAAATATAGATTATTTTACATAATGGGCCACTAGATAACCTAGTGGTAAGCGATGATGCGGCCTACGATGGAGCACGCCTGCCCTTAAACAGCCTATTCACGCGGGTCTTGAAGATACCATAATATTACCTACCCTTCGGGAACTTCAGTGTAGGAGAACCATGCTTCGAACGAATGGACCGGCTCGACCGGAGTAATACCACGGCCTCACAGAAATCCGACGTGAAGCAACGCTTGCGTTGTGTTTCGTCGTGTGAGTGAGGTTACCGGAGGTCCAATTACCCTTCCCTTCCCCAATCTCCCAAATTCCTGAATCCCCAACTATCAAAGTCAAATCATTTATTTCAATTAAACCATAGTTTGGTACTTTTGAAATGTCAACAAATACAAAATAAATAATAGTCTGTCAGTCAGTCCGTCAATGAAGCTAGGTGAAGCTAGGTGCTCATTCCAAAATGTAGATTCGAATGGAGAAGAACGAGCAAGAAATTCCATTCGTTATTAATCAATCCTCGAAAAAAAACACAGACTCTGGCAAAGAATTTCACTCCTTAGCGGTCAAGGTACCGCGAAGCGAACCGGTAGGATATCACCATGAAGCGACACGCTTTGGCGATTGTCTTGTTGTACAATGATGGAAAGAACTTGGGAGATTCATACCTTGCGTCGGGACAGACTTGGAACCAGTCACTTCATTCTAAAGTCAAGCAAGTCTAATAAATAGACAGTCAGTTGTCAAAATCCATATTCCTAATACATCCGAAATTGGGTGTATGTTTTTTTAGCTACCCGACTTTCACGGCGAAACGGAGCGATGAATTCACGTGATTTTTTTTTAGGTGGAGATAGTTGAAGGGATTGATTCTTTTTTAAGTGGGAAAATTATCGAATGACTGCTCCCGCCTGGGTGAGGCGGGAGGGAGTGTCAGACTCTTACTGACTAAAAACCACCCCGTTACTTCCTGCACGTCGAGCCGGAGCCCCGGTAACCCGTTAGGTTCCCCGCGACTGAAGGGATGGATAGTGACCTGACTTAGTTAGGCTACTTTTTATCTCTTTCTAACTTTCCACTCCCCATAATTAAATACAAAATGGAAGTTTGTATAGAGTAGAAACTAAAGGTTTGCGGCATGTTTTTGAATGACAAAAAAATCGTGCATAATTTTTTTTTTAGTAAATCCTACGTAGAACCGGAGTTATAGATAAATGCGAAATGAAATGATCCTTATTCTAATATCTAATAGATACAGCTGTCCTTTTTTGGCTTCCTCTACGATCATCATTACAAAATCAGGTCATCTTAGAATACTCCGCATCGGGCCTACGGGTGAAACCTCTTTAATTAGGTCACCGTCGAAATAGAAATTTCCTCATCATTACGTCTCATTTGTTACGAATAAGTATTATTAATGCAGAGTTTTTCAGATTCCGATAATAGGTAATTCAATACTTTGATTCCGATGAAGGCAATCTATTTTTCTTGTGGCATCGAGCATTTCTTTCTTTATTTAAACAGGAGTTTTTTTTCTTGTATAGAAGCACTATTTTATATGGATTGTCAGTATAGAGGTACATATGTGAGGACCATGTCAGACTTAAGATATTTGTTTTCTCTTGGTTTTGTTTTTTTATTTTAGTACGTTCTGTTATTTGTATGTTGCGTCAGGTATGCCTATTCATTATTCTCACATGTGTGTACAATACTGGAATATGTATCAGAGCAGTGTAAAACAGACTTTAAAAGAGTAACGAATGGAGTTTCTTGCTCGTTCTTCTCCACTCGAATCGACATTTTGGAACGAGCGCCTAGCTTCACTGACGGACAGACTGACAGACTATATTTATTTCATATGTGTTGCCGTTTCAAAAGTACCAAATTATTGTTTAATTGAAATAAACGCTTTTGAGTTTGAGTTTTGTGCCGTGCGTATTTGAAATCAATTTATTGTCATAGATTTTCATTGCACAAAAATACAGACAATTATTTTTCGTAGTATATTTTTCGACGAACATTAAACGAAAATGTCTATTTTTGTGACTCCTACATAGGTTAGGTTAGATACAAAAATAGGTTATGTAATTCATCAAAATTAAAACAGATTAGCGACAATACTTCTTATCAAGCAAATATTATCAGAAAGGTAAATAATACAACAAAAAAAAATCGATCACAACGATGCGCCATCTCTAAAATCTAAAAGTAGAACAATGATAAAAATCTAAGTTCAAGGGATCATACGATAAAATATTGTCATTAAAGCAAAAACAGCGCTGTACACCGCTTACCGGACACGCGTTCCCTAGACGCACGAAACTACTTCAAGGTCAACACAGCGCTTTATTGGCTTTATTTTAGTATCACGCACGCATGACACTGTCAGTAGCACGCTCTCGTGTACGCGTGAACAAATAAACAGCCAATTAGATTGTTTTATTTAAATTAAAGAGTTTGTTGATAGTAATCACGTAATAATATCACGTTCAATAAATAATTAGTGGTGAATTCAAGTCTTAGTCCGTCGCTGGCCGCGGACGGTTGACAGTTGTCTGTCAAAGTTGGCGCGCATTTTCAATCAGTCGGTAACATGCTGTGTAATAGTGAAGTGATGTGATTTTTTTTAATTTATTCCAAACTTTTTTTAATATATGTTTACAGTTATTATTATTTTTGGATTCGTTTTTGTTTATGTTTTTTTGAAATTTTTCTCGGAAATTGAGGAATCGAGTGAGTATATTCATTATTAATTCAGTTTTTTTTGTCGTATTTTTATCTATGAAAGTGGTTTGTTTTTTTTTACTATAATATTTTGACAGCTTTGTTTTTTTTAGGCAGTTTTGATTTTTTAGGTTATGTTCTTTTTGTACTGAGTGACTAAATCTAAATCTATCAACGTATGAAGTGGATCAACTATGTAATTAACATATAATAGGTCGTATGACATTGTTTTTGCCCTTTAACACCTAACCGTTTATATTGATTTCCATATAACACTCAGGAATTCATACATAAATTACGAAATAGGGAAAAAATTAACTATTTTACGAGAACTTTACCTTGAATGACACGGTACCTCGTTGGTTGAGTAGCTGCCATTATGACTGTCGAGGAAGGGGTCATGAATTCAATTCTCGGAAGGGGCAAAGTGTTAGTTAAGATATTTATGATTTCTCGATTTTTTTCAATAGAAACACGGAGTTTGGACTTGAGTCCAGTATTAGGTAATAAGCTAACCACTATTTGATGGGACTCATAATACACTACAGGTGGTGAGAAGAGTGTTTAATATATGCACAACTCTGCTTACCCTTCGAGGATTAAAAAGTGTGGCCTTATATGATAAGGATTGTGTCACCTTGAATCTTCAATACGTAAAGAAAATACTTTTCCGCAAAAAATATACAAAAATCATCATTAAATTAAAGAATTACAAAATATCTGTCTAGAAGTGTGGGAGAGCCATGCTTCGGCACGAATGGGCCGGCTCGACCGGAGTGATACCACGGCCTCACAGAATACCGACGTGAAGCAACGCTTACGTTGTGTTTCGTCGTGTGAGTGAGGTTACCTTCCCCTTCCCCAATCTCCCCAATCCCTGAATCCCCAACGATCCTTAAAGTCCTAATCCCCAAAAAGCCGGTGACGCACTTGTAACGCCTCTGGTGTTCCAGGTGTCCATGGGCGACGCCGGTTGCTTACCATCAGGTGATCCGTCTGCTCGTTTACAACAGCTTTATATGTCATAAAAAAAATTTAAATAATTCTTTCATAAACTATATACGTTTAAAAAAGCCGACTTCAACCCCCTCTTTTTCTGAAGTCATTTAATTAATATACTAAAACCTTCTCCTCGAATCGAAATCGGTTCAGACAATCGTGAGATAAATAATCTCACACAAACAAACATAGTTACATACATACATACATACATACATACATACAGGTGAAACTGCGAACTAAAAACGAAATAAATAACTATGTTACCTATACGTTATTTTATTGAAACGTACCATTGATCCCACATAACACTCTCTTTACTTTTTATTCGAACTAGATTTAATAAAAAAAATACAATCCAAGTAATAAGTGTCGGACAATTTCAAGTGTGAGAGAGCCATGCTTCGGTACGAATAGGCCGGCTCGACCGGAGTGATACCACTGCCGAGCAGAAAACCGACGTGAAACAACGCTTGTGTTATGTTTCGTCGTGTGAGTGAGGTTACCGGCCCAATTACCCCCTTCCTTAGTCTCCCCAATCCCCGAATCCCACACAATCCTCAAATTACTAATTCCCAAAAACGCACTTGTAACGCTTCTGGTGTTCCAGGTGTCCGTGGGCAACGCCGATTGCTTACCATCAGGTGATCCGTCTGAAAAAAAAAAGTACCCAACATACAAAGATACATAATGTAATGTAATTTTATCAATAAGACTGACAAAATCCATTGGCACTACTGGAATCGGCTTACTGCCACGTGAGCAGAGATGTCATGCATTCTTAAATGTTCTACAGTCGGTGGCGCTGTGTGCTGGGTCGCTCCGTTCCTTACGAAATGTCGGACCGATTGCTGGCCCTCACGTCATGCTCATGAACGGGCGCCTTCTGCTGGAGCAGGTCGGCTCGCTCATCGCGCGGGTGGGCCGATCCAGTAGGGTTAATGTAAATGTAATAAAACATGTATTGTGTATATATAGATAGTAGACACAACCTTCTTTGTGAAAAAAAGTGGTTAATGTAGCACGTAAGATTTTTGTAACAATTAATTTTGACAATAAAATAAAAGAAAATGTAATTGAATGACAAAGGCACGGACAAGAGTCCGTGGAGAAAAATAAATGTAGTATAATAAAAAAAATCATACATAACTTCAGACCTGTATCCTATGGACACCCATTAGAGACAGGCGTGCGCTTACCTCTTTTACTTCATCAACAGTCATCAGTCTTTTCATGCATGCTCATCGGTTAAGGGTACTTTTAATTTGGCCCTTCTGTAATATATCGCCGATCTGATCAACATATGCCTTGCCAATCTAGTAGATATATGCTATCTCCATAAAATCTGGACGATATAATTATGTGTATCTAGGGCGCCCTCTACCGAAAGTCCTTTTCACATCCTCTCTGTATGCTTCTTTATCGTTGTATTATGTTTATGTTTTCGTCAGTAATATAAATGTATTATAGTCAGCTAAGGCTAAGTTGCCTTCTGCTATTGGTAAAAATCGGTCGTGGTGGCCCGGAGGTTTAAGACGCCCGCTTCTCATGCATGAGGGTACGGGTTCGACACCTACTAACGGCCAAGTACCAATGTGACTTTTTCAGAGTTATATGTACTTTCTTAGATTATCTAGACACCACTGACAAACGGTGAAGGAAAACATCGTGAGGAAACCTGGGCTTATAATTTCTTATTATAAGTTTGTACTCGCCAACCCGCATTGAGCAAGCGTTGTGATTAATGCTCAATCCTTCTCCGTGTGAGAAGAGGCTTTGCTCAGCAGTGGGCATTTATAGGCATTTATATATAATCAACAGATTATGATGATGATGATGATTGGTAAAAATGCTTTCCAAGCATTGCTATTGAATAACAGATGGCATAACGGGTTACCGGGGCTCAAAGCAGGATTATCTCACGCACCCCATGGGGAGAGAAGTCATTAAAAGACCCCCTCTCCTCAAAAAAGGAATGTCATTAAGTGGTTTTATTCCGATATTCTTAAAGAATTTGGTTTTCAAGTAAGCGGGCAAAGCCATATGGAAAGGTAGTCGTAAGATTAATTTATCGTAGTAGTTACCGTCTATAATTATTATTATTATAATCCCAATGATAACGAGTATGACCTAACGATCTTAGGTCATGGATTTGAACCCTAGAATACTAAATATACGATACTTAATACTGGTGTTCTTCGACAAATGCTCCCTACTTCTAAAACTGGTTACATCCTTGTTGACTGGACATCTATACTACATGAGCTGCTGTTTACATGTGAACATTAGCTCATGACGATACCTAAGTACGTGTGTCGTCGCCTGGACAGTCAACCTCGCTACATCCTCGTTGACTGGACATCTACACTACATGAGCTGCTGTTTACATGGGAACATTAGCTCATGACGATACCTAAGTACGTGTGTCGCCTGGACAGTCAACCTCGCTACATCCTCATTGACTGGACATCTACACTACATAAGCTGCTGTTTACATGTGAACATTAGCTCATGACGATACCTAAGTACGTGTGTACTACGCTACATCCTCGTTGACTGGACATCTACACTACATAAGCTGCTGTTTACATGTGTCACCTAGACACTTAGAACTGCCAAAAAGTACCGCTGTTATAACCACCTTGGGGTTAACAGACATATTGGCGTCTGATATTGAGAAATGCAGAATAATAATACGTGTCCTCAACAATATGATAATGTGTATGTGTACGTACCTATATATGTACATTTTTAAACACATAACTTCCTTACGTACGTTATATAATGAAACTACTGAATTTCCGAGGCGATTCTATGAAGCAATTTTTTTATGGAATAAGCCGGTAAACAAGCAGACGATCATCTGATTGTAAGCAATCGGCGTCACCCATGGACACCTGGAACACTAGAGACCGTACAAGAACGTTACCGTCCTTTTGAGATTAAGAATTTGAGGATTGTTGGAGACTCAGAGATTGGGAAAGGGGTAGGGAGGGTAAGTGGGCCTCCAGTAACGTCACTCACGCGACGAAACACAACGCAAGCGTTGTTTCGCGTCGGTATTTGGTGAGGCCGTGGTATCACTCCGGTCGAGCCGGCCCATTCGTGCCGAAGCATGGCTCTCCCACACTTAATGGTTACCTCTTTTTTAATCATTATTTTTAAATAATATAAGTAGGGCTTTCTCCTAAGAGAAAAGCGTCAGCCCTATTATAGAATACAAAATTTAGTACATACTAAAATAAAGAAGCTAAACCGTTTATAGGTTTAACTTTGTTGATACTTGATGACGATCTATATGACACATTACCAACCCAGCCATCACGAAGGACACTCCGAGCGTTGGGGATCGCGGGATGATCTCCAGCCACCGTAAGCGCGGGCCTGCGGGCTTCGAGCATGTGTGGCTCGCCGTCCGACCAGAACCAGACCCAAGCGTACGGCGCGTTGCGTTGCACGCGCTCCTCAAAGAGTCATCAGACCACCACGGATGGCCCAACAGGGCTGATGCCGATTCGGAGTCGCGGAGAACCTAATGGGTCACCGGGGCTCCGGCTCGACGTGCAGGAGAAGGTACGGGGTGGTTTTTAGTCAGTAAGAGTCTGAGACTCCCTCCCGTCTCACCCAGGCGGGAGCAGTAATTCGATGATTTACCCCCTTAAAAAAAATATGACACATTACATAAAGTTTGAAAATATTGTCGCGAATTTCCACACAATAAAAATAATTTCAGTCATATATATATACCTACTTTCACTTTTGCGTTTTTACTTGCTTCTGTGTCTTCAATATTATGAAATCTAAGTTTATTTGTTAGTTATTTAAACATGGTATATGGCAATAGGCTCACCTCCTATTATATGGGACTCATAACATAAACCGTAAAAAGAGGGTGTAACATTGTACAGTGGCATTAAGTACCGTAATGTCATAATGTGCACCTCTGCCTATCCCTTCGGGGGTAAAAGGCGTGCTGTTAAGCCTTGTGTTACCTTCTCATTATTCAACTCTTGAAAACTTTACACACATGTCACGGGACCTACTATATTCATACTCACCAGATGTCGCTAGTGTGCACCTCTGGTTTTTCGTCCAATAGGGAATTAGCTAGTCTCACGCCATTGGACGTTCAATATTTGACAGCTGCTGTGATTGGACAAAAATCTGTCATAAATTTGCGACATTTGGTGAAGAAAATAACGCTACTCTTTCACTGTGAGCAAAGCAAAACCGCGACAAAAACTATGTAGTTTAAGTACCATATACATACATACATAATATCAGACCCTTTTATTTCTGAAGGGGTTGGCAGAGATGCACATTACGCCACTTAATGCCACTGTACAATGTAACACCTACTTTCAACTATTTATGTGATGAGTCCTATATAATAGGCGGTAAGCCTATTGCTACATACCGGGCACATTTCCAGACTCAGGGCTACTATAGAGTTTTTTTTAAAAACCCTTGAGACCCCTTGACCTGCAGTCGCACTAGCGATCACTCGGCAAACGAGGCAGTCTCTCAGTCAGGGCTCATACACAATACTGAGATGCGATGCGATGCGAATTCGTAACGCAGAAAATTACGATGCGAATTGCTGCGATGCGATTTCATGCGACAAGGCATCTCCCGGGTGACCATTGCTTCAACGACCGTCAACCGTACTAAACGTATTTTAAATTGAAAACTAGGTCGTGACATGGTTCGTAAAAAGAAGTGTGTACTTCTGTTATTGCTTAGGAGATACAGGAAAAAGGAACAAAGAAGATACGATTTTGATGCCCGATGCGAATCAATTCGCAAGTTCTTCCGATGCGTATAGGGAGCTCGCACATTTTTGCGATGCGACGTCGCATTGCAGTTTTGTGTACGAGCCCTCAGTCTCAGTGTCTTTAGGTACTATATCTACGCAGTTAAATGAGATACATTACTGTAATGGAACTACAACACATCGCTATTGTTGTTCAATAGGCAGACCTTGATAATTTTCGGCACAATAGTATCTATATTCTGTGAGTGGGTGATTGTATGAGATTATATACTTATCTAATCTAAAGCATATCAAGGTAGTTTACGCTTTATTTACCAGGGGACCTTACTTTAGCATTAGTAAAGTGTGGGAGAGCCATGCTTCGGCACGAATGGGCCGGCTCGACCGGAGTGATACCACGACCGAGCAGAAAACCGACGTGAAGCAACGCTTGCTTTGTGATTCGCCGTGTGAGTGAGGTTACCGGAGGCCCAATTAGGCCCCCCTCCAGTGGCGTAGCGTATCTTGGCGGGGCCCCGTATGAACATTTTTTTGGGGGCCCTTATGAAAGGTACTTAAAAATTTTTTAAGAAGAGATTTTTTTACATAATAAAATAATATTTTTTGTTAAAACCGGAAAACTTTCCAGGCGGCTTACTATTGAATCCAATTCCGATCGATCGACATTGGTATTGTGAAATTTTATACTCTTGAGCTGCAACACTAGCGCCTATTCCATCCGTATTGCGTGGATATTTAATGAACTAAAGGTATTGAGTTTGGCTTTATATTCCGTACTCTGAATGCTATTTTAACAGCTACGATAGGGGTTGTATAGTTTTAACATTGAATAATTATTGAGATTTTATTGGATTGATTGGTTTCAAGAGTAGGCCGGGCCTCTACTCAAATTATCTAACAATGATTACTATAGTTTTTACAAAGTTTCTGCCATGGAATAGATTTCTTTATTCCAGGTTTTCTAACCTTTGAACGCGTGCATTTTGTGATTACTGAAATAAAATATAAATTGAGAAGTTTCTATTTTTTGCTTACACACGTTGGGGGCCCCCTTATTCCGGGGGCCCCATATAATTGATACGGCAGATACGGCGCTAACTACGCCCCTGCCCCCCTCCCTAGTCTCCCGAATCCTCGAATTTTCCATTATCCTCAAATTTCCAATTCCCAAAAGGCCGGTAACGCACTTGTAACGCCTCTGGTGTTCCAGGTGTCCATGGGCGATGCCGATTGCTTACCATCAGGTGATCCGTCTGCTCGTTTACCGGCTTTTGCCATAAAAAAAATACTGAGTGTATTGAGTACCTATTGTCTAGCGGTTCCGGAGCAACATGCTGCCAAGCATTCTTATCTTCAAACCGAAGCATGGCTCTCCCACATTTACTAATTATCTAATAGATATTATTTAAACTAATGTCATCCAAAGTCAATCTAGTAATATGACCTTTATTTCACATCTTTAGATATCGTTCGTCCTGAGTCACCTTCACATGGCCACGAAATGTCATTCGCTACAACCGTTTCGACATTTGAACCGCGATAACGTTATTAGATAACGTTAAAATAACACAACGCAAAAATAACTACTTTTACGCGCTTCCTCGTCACTAGTGTTTTTTTTTTGTTTTGCATGCGTTATGGGTGTGTTCTTTAGTGTTGCCAGGTGTCTCACGAGATTTGTTTTTAAATGTAATTATGATGAAAAAGGTACAGTTTTTTTTTTTGTTTATTGTTTCATTATTTTTTATGATTCGTTGTTAGTAGTAGTAACCCACGGAAACACCAAGTCTGATTACTGACTCAGACCACGGAGTTTTGAGTTCGATTCGTAGGTTAGGAAAGATCGATCCATTTTTAACTGATTTCAACAAAAGAAGTTGTATCATTGTATGTATATATACCTACACAGCCTCTAATACAAATAGTACAGAATGCTTGCGAACGATTTTGCTACTATGTTCCACCAAGGAGTCTTAGAACGCCATTTTTAAACAATCATAATGTTATTCTTTTCCTCTTATAATACCTTTTGAGTTATGGGTACTAAGACAGTTATTCCTGTCCCTGGGACGTTGGACTTCAGTTTTACGGTGTTTTTATGGTTGTATCTACTGTAGATCCTGGCTTACAGGAGTTGCAGCAGTTTTAGGAGGTTGTGGCGGGCTTGTCCCATAAAAAAACAAAATGTTTTAAAAATGAAATTGCACCGTAAACTCCACCTCGCTTGTCTTATGTTCGACGTGGTAAAACACAAGTGTCCTCCATACCTGTGTGGGCGAGCCATGCTTTGGCACGAATGGGCCGGCTCGACCGGAGTGATACCACGGCCTCACAGAAAACCGACGTGAAGCAACGCTTGAGTTGTGTTTCGTCGTGTGAGTGAGGTTACCGGAGGCCCAGCTCCCTCCCCCCTTCCTCAATCTCCCCAATCCCCGAATCCCCAACAATCCTCAAACTCCTAATCCCCAAAAGGCCGGTAACGCACTTGTAATGCTTCTGCTGTTCCAGGTGTCCATGGGCGACGCCGATTGCTTATCATCAGGTGATCCGTCTGCTCGTTTACGGCATATGCCATAAAAAAACCTGTACTCTTAAGTTTGCATGGGTTAACAGTCACCGGGAGAGTGAGAGTAGGCGGTGTGCTCGAGCTGTGTGTTATTACACGTAGGAGAAGGGTTTAATAATTCTATGTATAATCTTATAGAGGTATATATATAAAAGAAAGGCGTGTTAGTTAAACTATTTATAACTCAAGAATGGCTAAATCGATTTGGATGAAAATTGGTGGGGAGGTAGCTTAGAACCAAGGGACGGACATAGGATACTTTTTACCCAATTCTTTTATTTTACTTTTACCGAAAATCAAGAACGGGAACGGGAAATATCGGGATTGCGCGTACGAAGTCGCGGGCAGAAGCTAGTTTAACTTAAAAAAAGCTGTATGTGTGTGTGTCACTCCAAAACGTCTGAAGGGTTCGGGATGGGGAACCGAGGTAGATTATAGTCTGTTTTTTATGGGGGGGAAATAATCGAAAGGCTTCTCCCGCCTGGGTGAGGCGGGAGGGAGTGTCAGACTCTTACTGACTAAAAACCACCCCGTTCCTACCTTCAAGCCAGAGCCCCGACAACCCGTTAAATCCTCCACGGCTCCGTATCGGCATCAGCCCTATTGGGCGCCATCCGTTGTGGTCTGAGAGATCTTTGAGGCGCGCGCGGAACGCTCGGCGCCGTACGCTCGGGTCTGGTTCTGGTCGGGCGGCGAGCTACCCATGCTCGCCGTCCGCAGGCCCGCGCTTACAATTAGATTATGGTCTGTAGTAAAAGGTTTTTTTTTTAAAGGGGGAAAATCATCGAATGACTGCTCCCGCCTGGGTGAGGCGGGAGGGAGTGTCAGACTCTTACTGACTAAAAACCACCCCGTTCCTTCTCCTGCACGTCGAGCCGGAGCCCCGGTTACCCGTTAGGTTCTCCTCGAAGGCTTCGTTTTACGCCATGGAAAGCCAGGCCAAGTCGCTGGTAGAAGCTAATAGTGCATTATACAGTCCTACTGATAATTATGAAGCTGTTTAAGATTTATAGTCTTGTTCTAATTACCTTGAACTATAAACTTACTGTTTGTTACATTGTAATGTGTTATAGATAACTGATAGCTTCAAAACCAGATTATACAAGTACCTAATAACAATAAGAATGGCTGCCTCGTTAACCGAGTGGTCGCAATTGCGATTGCCAAGGGGTCTCGGGTTCGATTCCCGGGTCGAGCAAAGTATTACAGGGTTTTTAAAAAAATCTCAGTAGTAGCACGGAGTTTAGAATTGTTCTATTACATGAGACTCATAACGTAAATAGTGAAAAGTGGGTGTTACATTGTACAGTGGTATTAACCCCTGGTATGCCGGGGACGTACCTACATATACGCGAGACACGATGTGTCTCATAAGCTTCATATGCAAATAAGAGTTTAAGTGCCGTAAGTGTGCACCTCTGCTTACGCCTCCGGTGATAAAAGGCGTTATGTTATGTTAATACAATAACATCTATGGATTATTTTGCTGCAGGGAGACGGGTCACCTGATGGTAAACAACCGACGTCGCCGGCGGCGTCGTGGCGTCAAACGCCGGCCCATTACAAATGAGAGAAACCCATCAGGTGATACGTCTGAAGTCAGAAATAATTTATTTTCCAAAAATGTAGGTAGCAAATATGTTGTTTTATAACTTACTAGCTTTTACCCGCGGCTTCGCTCGCGTCACAAAAGGATAAAAAGTAGCCTATGTGACATATACCAATACATACAGCGCCATCTATACCAATACTTTTTTTTCTCGCGGGAATATTAAATCTTTCCGGGATAAAAAGTACCCTATTATTTAATCCGTACTTCTAACTTTACGTCTGCAAAAATTCAAAGCAATCGGTTTAGTAGTTACGGCGTGAAAGCGGAACAAACAAACAAACAAACTCACTTTCCGATTTATAATATTATATATAGTAAGGACAAGTAAGGATGGAGAGTCCCGGTACATTTTGCCTTATGGCACGCAAAATTATTGAGTTAATTGAATACATTGTCTAAATTGAGTTAAGTTTGCTAAGTCCGCTCATTAACCAATATCCCATCCTACTCCCTACTAATGTCGCGGAGAACCTAACGGGTAACCGGGGCTCCGGCTCGACGTGCAGGAGAAGGAACGGGGTGGTTTTTAGTCAGTAAGAGTCTGACACTCCCTTCCGCCTCACCCAGGCGGGAGCAGTCATTCGATGATTTTCCCCCCTTAAAAAAAAAACTCCCTACTAATATTATAAATACGAAAGTTTGTATATTTGTATAATTACTCCTTCCCGTCAAAACGGCTGAAGGGATTTAGATGAAATTAGAAATTTGAAAATAGTTAGTAATACTTAGTACTCCGCGTAGAATATAAATTTTAGTACATAACTTTTCTCGTTTCAATTTTCCAAAATAAAAGCATATATTACTCTTTAGTACATCAGCTACCTTCCAGTAAAAGTCCCGTCAAAATCGGTCCAGCCATTCCCGAGATAAACCAGTACAAACAAACAGACAGACAGACAAAAATTGTAAAAATTTTAATTTTGGTATGTGTATTCATATGCATGTAGTAAAAAGCGGTTATTTTAATATTACAAACAGACACTCTAATTTTATTTACCTGTAGATGTATTTTTTTTAACGGGAGAAAATCATCGAATGACTGCTCCCGCCTGGGTGAGGCGGGAGGGAGTGTCTGACTCTTACTGACTAAAAACCACCCCGTTCCTTCTCCTGCACGTCGAGCCGGAGCTCCGGTTACCCGTTAGGTTCCCCGCGACGTACAGATGTATAGATGTAAATCTAAGAACCTCTACCCACCGCCTCAGTGTGCACCAGTCGTGATGTTACGCTAGCTCAGTAAAATCGAGTAATGCGTTTAATATGATCAGGTCACCAATAAATGCCATCTGCTCGGGGATTGGAATTCTATTCATTTTCATCAAGAAATTCCATTTCGCACCTCACCGGTACATTGCGTAGATTTTTCGCAGAAGGCTCAATTGGTTTTGGTGGCAAACGAACAACTGGAGCACTTGATGGTCAGCAAACAGCGCTGACGATGAACACCATAGGAGTTACAAGTATTTAACACTAGCTTTTACCTGCGGCTTCGCTCGATCCACAAAAGGAAAAAAGTAGCCTGTGACATAATGACATACCACTACACACAGCGCCATCTATACCAATACTTTTGTTTTCCCTCGGGAATATCAATTTTTTCCGGGATAAAAAGTACCCTATTATTTAATCCGGACTTCTAACTTTACGTCTGCAAAAATTCAAAGCAATCGGTTTTTTAGTTACGGCGTGAAAGCGGAACAAACAAACTAACTCACTTTCCGGTTTATAATATTAGTAAGGATAACATATCTTTACACTTTTTATCCGCGAAGGGGTAGGCAGAGGTGCGCATTACGGTACTTTATGCCACTATACAATGTAACAACCACTTTTCACTATTTATGTTATGAGTCCCATGTAATAGGGGGTGAGCTTATTGCCATTTAGGGTATTCATTAGGGCATTGAATCTCCTAATAAATAGTAATCATACCTTTAGTTCATCGTCGACTTACAATCTGTTATGATCTGAGTCTCCTCTGAATAAAATCATAGTATAGTCTTCTCCACACCATAACAATGTCGTTTTCGTCCCGAAGTAAAATGGTTCTGTCTCAGTAATACAATAGTTTTACAAAGAAATAAAATGTTTAAAACAAAAAATAACTGGTGAACCATTGCAAAAAGCAAATTTCGAAAGCGCATACGAACTCATAGTACATTATCAAAACATCAAGCCATGTCATTCTCGAAGAGCTATCCCTCGGTAGGTGGCACGTGCGATGCGAATAGTGCCTACAAAGTTACATCTAGTGTTTCATCTGCATGAGTTGATGAATATTTCTTTAACTAAATACATCATCATCATCAAAGAAGACGTCCACTGCTGAACAAAGGCCTCCCCCTTAGTCCTCCACGTCGAACGACAACTCGCCACCCGCATCCACTGGCTCCCCGCAACTCTGGCGATGTCGTCGGTCCACCTAGCGGGAGGCCTGCCCACGCTTCGTCTTCCGATCCGTGGTCTCCACTTAAGGACTTTTCTAAATAAATAAATAAACTTCCTTTTCCTAATTAAATACAACCACGTCTTTATTTGTTTTTACTTTATGCATCGAAAGTACTTCTTATGGCAAGTAGAAACCGAGGGATATTCATCATTATTATAGATGACAGCTTTGCTCAAAGTGCTGAAGCCTGTCGAGTATCAATCAAATAATTGTCTAGTTTTGTAGGTTTAAAACAAATTGTTTCAACTTTTCACAGCAATAAATAATTAAAAAATAATCATTCTCTCATCCATCGATTGGACAATTTACCTACTTTTGGATTTTTCCAGCTAATTTTAAGGACCTATATGCTATATGACGCCGAAATATGATGACGTCATAAGTTGCGATTCAATACAAAATTCATAGAAAAAAAATTTTTGACTTTTTGACATTTCAATAAAAGTATTGAATTTGACTACCTGTCAACTACCGTATTGTTTGCCAGAGTCTGTATTCCCTGAAGGGTATAACCTGGATGTCTTCAAGGCCCGAGTGAATAGGTTGCTTATGGGACGACGTACTCCATCGTAGACCGCATCATCGCTTACCACCAGGCGAGATAGTGGTCAAACGTCGGCCCATCATATATACTTAAAAATTGGTGTAGTCTAAAATATTTTCTACTAGCTTTTACCCGCGGCTTCGCTCGCGTCACAAAAGAATAAAAAGTAGCCTATGTGGCATATACCAATACACACAGCGCCATCTATACCAATACTTTTGTTTTTCCTCGGGAATATCAATTTTTTCCGGGTTAAAAAATACCCTATTATTTAATCCGGACTTCTAACTTTACGTCTGCAAAAATTCAAAGCAATGGGTTTAGCAGTTACCGCGTGAAGGTGGAATAAACAAACAAACAAACTCACTTTCAGATTTATAATATTAGTAAGGATTTTGCTGTTTTTTTTTTGTGTGCGCAAA